TAACTGGTTAGGAGGTGTTAAAACTTGTTCGAACGTTATAGCAACGTCGTAGTTTCGGTGTGTGTTTGGCGGGTATAGACATAGATACAACCGGTATATTTAGGAATAACTGGATGGACGATCGAGCGAACAGCCTCACCCCTTGGTTAGGGGGTAACCTCGATAAGCCTAACATATTTCCTGTCTCCGACAATAGAATAATCAGTGATAGGACAGTCCGTTAAAAAAAAAGATAGCCTCAACTGCGACCACAACAACACGTGTCAACTGTGCTCATCTGGTCGCGTCTCTCACCCCTTTATGCGCGGGTTATGCGAAATACGTCAGATATTGCTAATGTGACAGATGTTAGGACCGGTTCAACTCGGTACTAATTAGTCTCTCCCTTACGGCGTACGCTTTCACTGGCGGTCCTGAAGTTACAGCTCCGCTCCTGTGCCAGGTAAGTCCACTACGGGCTCACCATAGCCTATGCTACTGGGAACTTTTTGTTCCCAGTAGCTGAATCTATAACAACAACTGACGGCCCACACATGTTATTATTGAACTTATAAACTGTTTCCAGTTACAGGTTGTATAATTATGTGTAATTACCTAAGTGTAGTTACATGATGAGAGCTAGGCTCGTGGTGTCCCGTCTTCCCAATTATCTTTGTCATGCCGATTTTGATCTATTCATGGTTTTGGCAGCTACCGTATCTAGTAAGATATAAACGGATAACATCTCAATATAAATTTTTTTAAGAATATTTCTACCATATAAAACGACAACATTACAATATTACCCATTAGAATACATCTGGAAATCACCTCAATCGACGTGAGAGCTCTCGGTAGTTCCCTCGAGGGAATTGTAGTGTATTGATTGATTGATTGATGAAGAATAAGCCACCCAAAAGGTGGCACGGGCATGAGTAACCCGTAAGTGATAGATGTTTACTTTAAAATACTGAACAATTTGGAGGATGTCGATGCGGGCAACTTCTTCAAAAGATCAGATGTAACACGATCCAGGAGCAACGGGTTCAAGCTCAACAAGCCACAATGTAAAACAGAAAACAGGAGATGCTTTTTCACCCATAGGTTTGAAAACCCGTGGAACCGCCTACCCGCCGAAGCCATAAACGCCTGCTGGGTTTTAAAATACAGCTGGAAAAGATCATCAGGGCAAATGGGGGTCATTTGACAAGCCGTCGGCTTTCTGTACTCATCGAGGCCACTAGTATTAGTGGCCTCTAAGTATTAGAGGCCACTAGTATTAGTGACCTCTAATACTTTATCTAATTCTAAGTCTATAATAATAATCTAAAACATAATAATCTAATAATTAGTGACTCAGGTAAATGTTTGCAGTGAATGTGATCTTTGGTCTTGAATGTACTGTATATACTTCATGTTGTATAATATAGGGGCGTAGTGAAGTATGTCGTCTGGTTCTACTGTGTAAAGGATCTTGATATAGCTTTAATCTGCAATTATTCAGCTTCCGTCGCATTAATCAGCAAAGTGTCAGCCTTGGAGCACTTGTGTTATGGCCACATAACTCATCTCTCGCGTATATTCCAGCACCGGACGCGCTCTGATATCCGACCTATCACCTCCAGATAAATGGCCTACGACACTACTATATAATGAATTTCCGAACATTAACCACCAAAACTGTAACAAACCGAAACAATTGAAGAATACATTTAAGCCTAACAATGTAATAAGCAAAATAACATGACAAATTCATAAAAACAAAACTTATTTTTATCTTAGCACCCCTTATTAGCAAACTCATCTGAAATAAACAAAAATTAAATTTAAACATTTACTGAACATTAACAACAGTTGCATATTGGCGGGAATCTCCGGGAGTCGTTTTCTGCACAAAGAACCTGAGAATTTATTATAGAGAGGCAGCTTCCTTTAGCATGAGGAACATGAGCCTTCTTTGTTTGGCGGAGGTAGCGTCAGTTTGATGCCCCCCTCCCGGCAGTCCCCACTTCCCACCCCCACCATGTGATCCTGCTAGCTTGGAACACCCCCTCCCATCCCCTCCCTCTTCCCCATAAGAGCTAGCCAAGCTCTGTAAACCTCCCCTTCCCTACCCCCCAACCCCACTATTTCTCTCCCTAGGCTAGAAATAGTTCACCTATTTCTCTCCCTAGGCATTATGGTTTCAATATCCTCTTGCTCAGATACCAGCGCTATCCACCTTATTATACTGGAGGAACTGTTGCACAAGGGTGGATTTAGTGATTTGCTGATTTTCAGGTTGCAAGAAGTCTTGGTACGCACTGTCTTCTGCGGGATAGCTCCAGGTGGGACCTGGGGCAGTCTCGTATCATCCACCCCCACTTCCCTTCCGACCCGATGTGGTACTGGGGGGTCCGGAGGGGGGGGGGGGGGCGTGGTAACCCGTTACGACCCGATGTGGTATTGGGGAGCGTGGTAACCCATTTTTATCCTGGTGGAAGCAGAACGGTATCAACTCAACGTGTGGTTGAGGAAGAGAGGTATCCCCCGCTCTGGCAACCATACTGGTGGGGTGACATGGTTGTCCTCTGACATGGTTGTGGGGGTTAAGCTCCTGGTGTACCCTCCGTGTGGGTGGAGGAGCAGGGTACCTCCTGGTGTACCCTCCGTGTGGGTGGAGGAGCAGGGTACCTCCCAGTGCACCCTCCGTGTGGGTGGAGGAGCAGGGTACCACCCGGTGTACCCTCCGTGTGGGTGGAGGAGCAGGGTACCTCCCGGTGACACGGACGGGAGACAGGAAGTACCCCGGCAGGACTTGGCTGTACCACCGCAGGCAGCGCCAACACCCACCCTTAACTTACACACACTCGCCAAACCACTCTCTCTGCCTACAGCTCTCTTTGGAGTCCACAAACATATACCCGAATTTCATGCTTATAATAATGTATATGTATAAACAAGAATGTGAAGATTTGTATAATATGTAAATATACATTTCAGCACATTATAAACAATATGCGATATACCTGCAACGATATTTTGTATAAACGATTCCTTTGTTTATTTCTGCCTCAGCACATTCTAGGGTAGGACGCTAAAGCCCTTAAACCTAGTCAAATTATGACTTCCTCTCTGATAATGAGCAATTTACATTGTAATTCAACTGATGTGACTTCCTCTGTTAACAGTTTCAAAGGCATAGATAGTAAAGTATATTGATTGCATGCAAATGATTTTACGCTGAAAATTCTATGTAGAGTATTATTTCAAACTCCTGAGGGCAGTCCCACGCTATGGAGAGGCTAGGCCACTTCCTGGGTCCGGGAGAGCTAGGCACTCCCAGCTAAGAACAGGAAAGCTAGGCACTCCCAGCTAAGGACAGGAGAGCTAGGCATCCCCAGCTAAGGACAGGAGAGCTAGGCAACCCCAGTAAGGACAGGAGAGCTAGGCAACCCCAGCTAAGGACAGGAGAGCTAGGCACCGCCAGCTAAGGACAGGAGAGCTAGGCACCCCCAGCTAAGGACAGGAGAGCTAGGCATCCCCAGCTAAGGACAGGAGAGCTAGGCAACCCCAGCTAAGGACAGGAGAGCTAGGCACCCTCAGCTAAGAACAGGAAAGCTAGGCACTCCCAGCTAAGGACAAGAGAGCTAGGCATCCCCAGCTAAAAACAGGAAAGCTAGGCACCCCCAGCTAAGAACAAGAGAGCTAGGCACTCCCAGCCAAGAACAGGAGAGCTAGGCAACCCCAGCTAAAAACCGAATAGCTATAGGCACCCCCAGCTAAAAACCGAAAAGCTAGGCACCCCCAGCTAAGAACAAGAGAGCTAGGCACCCCCAGCTGTGGACAGGGGGGGGGCGGGGGGAGGGGAGCTAGGCCACTTCCAAGCCTTGGACACCCCCAAAACAAAATATGTAACCCAATCAAAAAGAATCACAGATAAATTAGTCCACCACATTACTGTTTCCCTTCTAACTAAATATTGTATTATTTCATAAGGACAAGCAACCATTTTTTTTTTTTTTTGAGATATATACAAGAGTTGTTACATTCTTGTACAGCCACTAGTACGCGTAGCGTTTCGGGCAAGTCCTTAATCCTATGGTCCCTGGAATACGATCCCCGCCGCGAAGAATCGTTTTTTCATCCAAGTACACATTTTACTGTTGCGTTAAACAGAGGCTACAGTTAAGGAATTGCGTCCAGTAAATCCTCCCCGGCCAGGATACGAACCCATGACATAGCGCTCGCGGAACGCCAGGCGAGTGTCTTACCACTACACCACGGAGACTGTAAACCATCATCAACAATATTCTACCAAACAGCTGAAATCATGGCGCCGGGAAATGTTGACATAAACACTGGGAATATAATGCTGATAATAAGTGAAGATAGATTTGTTTGGGTTAATTGGCGACTGGCAGCGCTGCACATGACGCCACAAAAGTATCGTTGGCAGTTTCCGACACCACCTTGCGTTACCTTGTGTTGATTTCGGGGCTCACCGGCCCGGTCCCTGACCACTGTCACCGTTGCCATAAAACAGTAGCACAATATTCATGTACAGGAGCAGGAGTGAGCACGTCCAACCGCCACCACTGACAGTGACTTCACTTCCCCACAGTACGGCCGTTGGACGTAATATTTACCATGCACAAAGTTCCATTAGAGTGATGATGAAACTCTCCGCTGACACGCTGGACGCCTCACACTTATCACACCCCCACAACAGGTGTTTCCCGCGTCGTGTCTGTCACATGTGGTTTCGTAATTGCAGTATTCTATTATTTTTGACATGTTTTTACCTCTGCGTATTACTCATGTCGCTCTTGTCACTTCTGCTTTCCATGACGCGATTTTTTTCCCGCTACTTCTCTCCGCTGATGCTTAATTGTTTCTCCCTGACTGGCAAGTTTTTCTGATCTGGAAGATGGTAAATTGTTTTTTGTCTGCCTTGAGGCTTGAGCGTCTTCTTGGTGGCCATCAACTGTCGACGTCATCTGCCACATCAGTGGTAATTTGTGCCTTGATCCTGCTACTAGGCTCCTGGAGCTCCTAGGCTACTGGGCTCCGAAGCTCCTAGGTTCTTGGGCCCTGGAGCTCCTAGGCTACTGGGCCCTGGAGCTCCTAGGCTACTGGGCCCTGGAGCTCCTAGGCTCCTGGGCCCTGGAGCTCCTAGACTCCTGGGCCCTGGAGCTCCTAGGCTCCTGGGCCCTGGAGCTCCTAGGTCCTGGGGCGGGCTGCCGTTCATTTGAACTAAGAAAAGTCAATGTGCTTTTTTCGACATACCAAATGTTTATGCTAAAAGCTTAATAAGCTATACATCACTAAGAAAGGAAGCTTATTGTAAATTGCCTCCTGTGTTTTGTTATGTACCTACGAATGTCATTAAGATTGTATCAATGAACAGAGAAATCACATTAACATGATTTATCAATGAGAAAATCAGTAGGAGCCTTTCGAAAATCTACCTACACACATGTGTAGGTAGATTTTCTACCAACCCGTGTGTGTAGGTAGAAAATCTAACTAATCTTTTTATTTTTTTGAAAATTATGCCTACATACATACCCTTAGCGCAAGCCTAATGACGTATAGCCGCCATAGAGGCCTTGACCCATCGTAATTTACAGCATACCAGCATACACTGCCGTAAGTATGATGTGTGTGTGTGTATGTTAGACCTATAATAATGGGTCAGTACCAGTAAAAATGGCAGTAATATAGTTCCCTGCTACTACCAGTATTACCGCCACTACCACAATCTGGGCTCCCATAACGACCACTTCGACCATGACTATTATTGTCACGTTATCAAATAGTGGTAACACCTATTGCCTCCTCCCCTCCCTCCTCCATATCGCCCTCTTAGACTTATTAATGTTTCTTTCCCATTCTCTAGGGCTCGCGACGGTTTCGCTTCATGCAGGTCGGCGTTCAATCCCCGACCGTCCAAGTGATTGGGCACCATTCCTTTCCCCCCCCCGTTCCATCCCAAATCCTTATCCTGACCCCTTCCCAGTGCTATATAGTCGTAATGGCTTGGCGCTTTCCCCCTGATAACTTCCCTCCCTCCCTAAGCCTAGTACATTTAACCAATTTTCAGTACTTGTAACGCATAGGCCTTCCATCATAGATGTGTAATTCGAAGGTCTTTTTTACATTTGTATTACACATGTCCCTTAGAGACTTATACTTCAGATATAAAAGGCTAAAGTTGGACTTTGTAAGACATATTATCGAGTGATGATCATGGAGCTGCCTCGTTCAGAATCTGTGATAAGACTGCAATGACTCGTGGGTCGACGTAACCTAAATAGCTTGAACCCTTAGTAGCATAACAGGCAAAAGTTAAGAGCCACAAATTAGATCTAAATTTTACACGCAGCTGTTGTCTGGCGTCCCTCATTAAAGTAAATCGAATTATACAACTTTTTTGTCTATTAAATAATAATAATATAAAAGTCATGCATACATAAATTTACAAGGAACAGTACTAAAACGTTGACTTTTTAACAATAACAACAGTACAAAATGTTGACTTTATATTTTTAGCGCCACAGTGGCTATATGTACTATAATTGTGAAGGCTGTATTGAAATGGAGGAAAGCAGGTCGGGGGGTCTGTACATTGAACAACAGACGGTTAACAAAACTGGCTCTAAGAGCTAACAGCTCGATCCTGCAAGCACAAATAATAAATACACTCACGACACTGCTCTGATACGATACAACAGGTGTAAACCCGCCAAACACACACCGAAACTACGACGTTGGTACAACGTTCGAACAAGTTTTAACACCTCCTAACCAGTTATAACAACCAATATAGCAAGTTGTAACAACGTTCTAATACGTCATAAACACGTTAAGCCAAGATGGAACAACTTTATTACAAGTTGTAACAAGCGGAAAATAGAGACAGTTACGGTTTGTGTTTCCAGGGAAGAGGCTAGTTTGCGGAACATCAGGAACTTGACCTCATTCGTTAATTAATTACACTTAGGTAAGTACTGCAAAGGAAGCAACGTGGACAGAGCCTCGCCCTTGGCTTGTGGACCTCGATAAGCCCATTTAGGGCTTCTTGTCTCCGACAAGGTATAACCTTAATTAAGGTAAAACACACACACTTACGCACTAGTGATAACTGCGCAGAGGTTAGCACTGTATATCCACCCTCGATAAGTCATGGATTTGATTCCCAGCAGAGCTAGTTGTGTGGGAACCTTTCTTTGTCCCTAATGGCTCTGTTCACCTGGAAGTAAATCTGTCGACTGGTTTTTCGTTTTTTAGGAAAACTCAGTCAATGGGGGACCTCGAAATCCTTAAGGCGTGTTGTCATGGCTGGGTTCGCGTGCTGCGAAGCCCCTGGAACCAACACCGGGTTCTAATATAAGGGTTCGCTTGCGGTAAAACCTATGAAGCCAATATCAGGCTATCTCGTGTTCGCGTGATGTGGCCGGGTTGACCGATCTCACGAGGACGGGTTGACCGATCTCACGAGGACGGGTTGACCGATCTCACGAGGACGGGTTGACCGATCTCACGAGGACGGGTTGACCGATCTCACAAGGACGGGCTGACCGATCTCACGAGGACGGGTTGACCGATCTCACGAGGACGGGTTGACCGATGTCACCTGCTACACAAGTGCTCATTTTCTCTCCCGCCTGCCTGCCGGAGTTCCCCATGCTCAAAATAGCACGAAACTGAATGACACGAGAAACCTTTTACTTGGGTGATGCATTGGCGACGCTTGAGTGCCGTGATGGTTACATGGTAATGCATAGTTAGTAATACGTTAATGACACGTTAGTGACATGCCTCTGTAATACAGGTAATGAGGTAAGCACACTGTTAGTGACGTCAGGGTGACATTGGTGCTCTGCTAGTGACGTCAGCGTGACAGTGGTGCCTTGTTAGTGACGTCAGCGTGACATTGGCGCCCTGCGTGACGTCAGCGTGATATTGGTGCCCTGCTAGTGACGTCAGCGTGACATTGGTGCCCTGCTTGTGACGTCAGCGTGACATTGGTGCCCTGCTAGTGACGTCAGCGTGACATTGGTGCCCTGCTAGTGACGTCAGCGTGACATTGGTGCCCTGCTAGTGACGTCAGAGTGACACTGGTGCCCTGCTAGTGACGTCAGCGTGACATTGGTGCCCTGCTAGGGACGTATAGTCATTAGTCAAACGTAAGTAGCGTGTGAGTCGCTAGAAGCAACAGATCCAGCGAACACAGGCAGAGTTGAGTTTCAAGACCTCCAGCTTCAGTATGAGACCTCTAGGTGCCTTCCGCAGCAGGGCCATGGGAAGAACAATGCCAAAAGGGATGGCGCTAAAGGACAGTGTCATTCGAACCATCAACTTCTTAGTGCCATGGGGAGTTGGGAAACAAATGCCAGATGACAAAGACATGAGCGATATGAGGGAAATGATAGAGACATAAAAAGTGTTCCAATAGAGGACAATGATATTTGAGGCAAAGCCAAGGGAGGACAACGCCACGAGACAGGCAGTTATTATTATAATTATTATTATTTTCTACCACAGACGTGGCCACACATTTACAATGCTAACTAGCATATATACATTTTCTTCTGTCCTCCGTGGACAGGGTGAGAGAGTTGTCAAACATATAGTTCAGGGATTTATTGAACAATCAGCCACAGGTGATTGTAGTGCTTTTAAAATGCTAGGCTAAGCTACATACGTAAATACATAAATACACAGATTTATGTATGCTACATAAAGTGTTCGATGTGTCTTATACTTATATGAGGGAAGTTGAGGCAGCGCAGGCAAGAGGCATCTTTGCCTTGTGCTTCAGATCAACTAACATGTATCTTGTAAACGTGGAGAAGATAGACTTTATTTGTTGTTAAAGCCTCCAAGGTCAAACGCCACGGGCTCACCATAGACCGTGCTACTTGGAACTTTTTGTTCCAGGTAGCGAATCTTTAACAACAACAACAAGCCAAATGGCTGAAAGATGGCTAAAAAGGGTTATCTCGTCAAGAACATAACTCAAAGAGTAAATACTGCGCCATTTTGCTGAAATTAAAGAAACCACACGAAGGAATTCTGAAATTTTATTTAACAATCCCAGCGGTTAAAATTGCCCTAGTAACAATAAATCAGCGCAGGATCAACGTTGTTTTTCCAGATTTGCCCGGGGCAAGTGTTCAAGAATCCGCCATTGTGGCATCACGATTCCAATAGGTTCCGGGCCGCCGGTAATTCACAGCGCGAGGCCGCTGCCAGAAACTGCTGCCTCAGCCCTACTGGGTGTCGCCTGCCCCTCCTGCGTCGCCGCCGAACTCCTCCAGCAGGTGCACTAGAAGGCTTCCCCGTCCCGTCTTTGTGACTGGAGGAGGCGATGGTAAGGGCGGGCCTAGACAAATACCCCAGCGGTGTGTAAGGCACCCCACAACCAGGGGTTTCTCCTGCAGGGTATTGTCCTCCTCGACCTCCCACAGGATACTCTCCCTACACCCACAGGAAACACCTTCATGTACCTGATAGGTCTCCACCCTCATAGGTCTCCGCCTATATCGGTCTCCGCCTATATCGGTCTCCACCCTTTCCACCCGTGTAGCTCAAATAACCCACGCAGGCTTCTAGGCCGGGTCCCACCCTGTACACCCACGCACATCCACACACACATATTTCCACGCAAACATTTATCTTTCTCGCGTGTACGTAATTTTATGCCAGCGCCATGTGACAAATGTCTGGTCTAGGGGACACAGGCTTCACCACCCGCACACACACATTGTCGCTTCAGTCCCCAGAGACCTCACGGTGACTGATAGTTGAGAATATTAAGACTATTATACCCAAGCCGCGTATCCTAATAGGTGATCATGACTCTATATATATCAGTCATTAACCTGGCTGGCTTCTAACCTTGTTCTACCGATCAGAAAAAAGCAAAGATGAAAAAAATCGTCGTCAATATGTTTGTTGATGCTTACAAAGGTATATTGGTTCATAAGGCTTCTGTAGAGTTTTCTAAAGCGCTCCTCATTGTTAGGGAATATATTGGGCGACGGTGGGTTATATAATATATCCGGCTCAGCAGACCAAGACGAAAATGTTGATATGTGCTCTTTGTGCACATCAAGGGCTAGCTAGATAGGCCTACGAGACTACGATATCTAAAGGATAAAAGCAAAGAGGTAAGCCTACTAGCTCGTTGACATGTTGAGCCGCAGCAGTTGCAACCCA